TTACTAAGGGTTGAGGGGTGGGGGAAATGGGGAGATATTGGTCAAAGGGAGCAAACTTCCAGTTATACAATTAACAAGTTTGCAGATCTAATGGACAGAATGGTGATTATAGCTAATAATACTGTATCATATACTTGAATGTTGGTAAGAAAGTAGATCTTAAATGTTCTGACCATAAAAAAGAAATGATATTTATGTAACTGAATGGAGGTGGTAGCCAATACTATGGTGAAAATCATTTTGCAATTTATAAATGCATCAAATTAACACATTGTGCACCTTAAACTTACACAATGGTATGTGTCAATTATATATCAATGAAGCTGGAAAAATTGACTACATTTCATTTTTTAAAATGACACAGACACTTTGGACACAGTTTGGCCATTTCTTCTAACGTTAAACATACACATACAATATGACCCAGCCATCCCATTCCATGAGCAATGAACACTTATACACAATATTCACAGTAGTTTTATTCATAATAGCCACAAACGGAAAACAATCCACATGTCCACCAACTCATGATAAAAAGAGTAGCCCGTCCATACAATGGAATATTACTTAGCAATAAAAAGAAACAAAGTATTGGCATATGCAACATGGGTGAATCGCAAATGCATTACATTAAGTGAAAGAAGCCAGAATATAGGGATGCAGAATTGAGCAGTAGTTGCGGGGGACTGGGGATGAGAGGAGGCTTTTGACTCTCAAGGGTGACTGCAGGAGAGATGGTGATATGACTCTAGGCGTTTCTCTAAGCTCAGAACTGCACACCAAGTAGAGCAAATTTTACATTTGCAAATTTACATACCATGTTGAGATGAGGCCGGGTGTAACTAAGCACATATGTTATTTGCAGAAATATACTATGAAATGATATACAGAAAGAAAAGTGTTTACCAAAAGAAGAAGAAACTTGGCAAACAAAGGACATACGGACAACCAATATTTTTCACTGTGCATTTTATTTTTTTATGTGAGTGAATGTATTGCATGTCAAAACTATTATATTCAAGAATTTAGACACCATTGTCAGAGTCTCATCTAGGAATCCTGGAGTGGTTCCCAGGTGATCTGATGCACCTAGGGCTGACACACACCTTAAAGATCACTTGCTTTGCAGGTTAGGGCATACCTCTGATGCCAAGCTGATCAAATTCACCCCTACTCCACCACTCACTGGGTGACCTTGAGCAAGTGAGTTAATCTCTGATTCATAAGATGGCTGTGAGGATGAAATCAGCATTTAGGTGGGGGAGCTGAGTATCATCACTTTTTCCCTTCTCAGAGGTCTACCTCTGTTGATAGGACCAAAAATGTCGCTGTCTGCAAAGTCACCAGGCCATATATGTTCTATGAAAGGTGTTTAAGCACACCCACCTCTTACATGAATATATGTATATCTATTGCTATAACAATGAAATTTCTCCACCAAAAGTTATTTGACTAAGAGTAACTCAGTTTATGATCAATATAATCAATAGCAATATCTCAAGCCATCAATGTGAATAACGAGAATTCTTGCAAAGCGAGACAAACTTTTAAGTTATTTTCTAACATAATTCCATTAAAAAAAATAAAGAGTGGCTTGAACACTTCACAATTAAAGATCTTCAAGTCCCCAAGATGAGGATTGTATGTGTTGGAAAGATAAGGTAAAGTCATGGAAAGAGGTTCACAATATATTATTAAGTTAAAAAACCAGATTAACAAATAGATATATGATAAAATAGCAGGGTGTTGGTTGAGGTAAAATTCGCATAACATGAAATTCACCATTTTAGCCCCTGTAAAGCACACAATTCCGTGCATTTAGGACATTCACAATGTTGTGCAACCACCTCTTCTATCGAGCTCCAAGACATGTTCATCACCAAAACCCAGGCCTCATCCCTATTAGCAGTCAGTCCGCATTCCCCCACCCCCAAGCCCCTGACGAACACCAATCTGCTTGCTCTCTCCATGGATTTGCCTATTCTGGACATTTCACATAAATGGAATTGTACAATATGTGACCTTTTGTGTCTGGCTCCTTTCACTTAACATCATGCTTTCAATGTTCATCCCAGTTGTAGGATGTGTCGGTGCTTCATTCCTTTTTATGACCAAACAATATTCCTTCGTGTGGATGAACCACATTTTGCTTACCATTCATCTGTTAATGAATATTTGGATTATTTCCCAAAAATCAAACTTTTGGCAGTTGTGAATAGTGTCACTGTGGACTTTCATGTACAAATTTTGGTTTGAACACCTGTTTTCAATTCTTTGGGGAATATACCTGGGCGTGGGTCATATGGTAATTCTAGGTTAAATTTATAGAGGAACCAACAAACGGTTTTCCCTCATGGCTGCACCATTTTACATTCACACCAGCAGTGTCTGAGGGTCCCAATCACTCCACATCCTCATCCACACTTGTTATTTCCCCTTTTTTATTTTCTTGCCATCCTAGTGGTTGTGAAGTGGTATCAATTGTGGCATTGATTGGCATTTCCCTAGTGGGTGTGATGTTGAGCAACTTTTCATGTGCTTCTTACCCAACCAGTCCAGGCCCTCGATCTGTGGGCTCCTGACAGGCTCTGAGACTTGTACCCTGTACCCCCGGACCCGCTACAGCCTGACAGGAGCCAGTCCAGGGACGGCCGCTGTGCCAGGTGCTGAAGGAAACAGCCTCATTCCCATCCCCTCCACATTCCTCTCCCTATTGCAGACCAGCGTGAACCCCGCTTCCTGGAATGTCCAGACTAAAATGAAGTCCGGGTCATGCTTCTCTGAGCGAAAAAACCATTTTCACTTCCTAGCTTCAGGCCAGCTTCACATCGAACGCCCTTGTAATTTCTCAGACATAACTATGGATATTTTGGACTCACTGAATCTTCCAATCATACGTCTCTTCAACATCTGGGTGCCACATTCCTCAAAACTTAAATGTAAGCTTCACGACTTTAAAACATTTTAAATTTTAGGATGGGATACAAAAAGAGGGTCGAAAGGGAGGAAAGTAACCCTCACTGAGTGCTGATGCCCACCAGATATTAACGCAGTCATGCTGTGTATGCCTGCTTATTCAGTCTCCACAGCAGTGTGGTAAAGTGCCTACACTTCACAGGAAAAGAACTGAGGCTCAGAGAGAGAAACAATTCTCCACAAGCCACACAGCTGCTAAAGAGCAGACTGAGATTGTGACGTTGGTAGTACAACTCCAGGGTGTGGTTGATCCAGGGTCATTTGACCCTGATGGCATCGAGGTGTCTGCTCCACCTGCTCCAAAGAGTAGTCTTGTCCTTGTGACCCAAGATGGAGCTCCAGTCACCACCTCAATGGTCCACGCAACAGGAAGGAGGAGAGGGGAAGACTGGACAGGGAGAGCATCTCAGCTGTCTCTTCAAGAAGGTTCCCGGAATTACCATGTAGTCTTTGACTTCTCCATATGGGACACGGTACAGTTCTTTAACCAGTCTACCTTCAAGAAAAGCCTTCAGGTATGATTTGTGTTACAGCCAGCCATGCACATACCTAAAAACTAAGGATTCTAAGAGAGCAAAATGCGTATCCTGATACACAATTAGCAGTCCCCGAACAGGCCGTCCTGTTGACTACCAAAACATCCCGTGTGTACCCTGCTTCCTATACAAGGAACACACTCACAACATCCCAAGGGAGTCAAACCCAAAGTCCACCTGCTGCCTCCATTCAGCCCAGAGTCCAGAGTCTGGGTGATGTGCAGGCCTCCCCTTAACCTGCTGTGGGCTCTTATGGCCTGGAAATCTATACGCTTAAAGGCAACCACCATTCCTACTACATGCAAGAGTGGAGTCATAACTGGACCAGGACCACTTAAAATCCCAATTGAGACTTCTGTTTTCCATGAATGGAAAGCCAGGCTACTTGGATTAAACTTTCAGGTTTCTAAAAACAACTCTCAAAGCTGGATACCTTCCCAGTTTCTTAAATGAATAACGACCTGAAAAGACAGTAAAGAAATAGGAAGACACTACTCAAATGAAAACAGGAACCCAGAGATAAAATGAACATTATGTTCATTTTATTACCCTGGAGGCATTTCTCCAGCCAAGAAAATGTGAATCCCTGTTTGGATGTCCTCGTGGTGGGGAGAGAAAAGGCAGAGCCCAGGGAGAGGCCAGGAGGGGAGCACTCCTCACGTTGGTGGAGACCTCACAAAGCTCCACCCTCAGCATGACAGCAAATGGAAGAGGAGGAGCCTGCAAGTGTCACTGCGGCTTGACTTTAATCTTCCTGGTGGCCTTGGGCACCATGAGCCTTGAACTTCATTTAACTTCATCCTCACCCAGCACGGCTCCTAGGATTCCTCTTACAGAAAGCTGCCTCCTTCAAATTCGACGGATATTATTTCAAATATGGCAGCCACTACCCCGGCAGTGGTAACCAGGCACACAAGAACACTGACCCTAGGAGTGAAAACCAGCAAAAACAGCAGACACTGCAACAGGGACAGACAACACAACACACTATAAAGCATCCGGCTTGTCATGTTCAAGTCAAGACAGTAACACAGTAACCACAGATACACAGCGAAGGGTTCTGAGGTGAGGAAAGATTGGGTATATTAGGAGATGGAACCGAGGTCAGAGTGCTCAGAGCACAGGTTCTCCTCCGTGACTCAGAGCCTCAAAAGTGCCCCTTACGTCCGTCCTCCACCCTGGCCCCCTCCTGCTCAGACACCTCCCACAGCTCCCTACTGCCCACAGGATGAAGTCCCTCGTTGGTTTCTAGAAGAACCCTTGAGCGGCGTGGGTCCCTGTGGTCAGCGGGAGAGGCAGGCAGGGCATCGGCCTCAGAGACACCGCCCCGCCTCCACCCACCACGTCCCCTCCCCATCCCCCGCAGCCAACACCGCCCCCTGCTGGCTCCCGATAGGCTGGGGCAGAGGTGACAGCACAGATTTATTCCTGGGAATCTGCACAGTGAGGTGTGGGGTCGGGGTGGCTCCCGGGTCGGGAGGCCGCGGGTCACTGGGGGCCCGCGCTCAGCGGCTCCACCCGCAGCCACAGTCCGCCCTCGGCGCGCAGGATCAGCTCCGGCTTCCGGCGCGGCTCCTCCCCGGCCGGCAGGACGCGGAAGCGCAGCAGCGTGAGCGCCAGGACCACCTTCATCTCCGTCATGGCGAACGTCTGCCCGATGCAGTTCCTGCGGCGGGAGTGGGGGCTCGACGGCGCCCGGGACCCTCATCCCCGCACCATCGCGCCGGAACCTGTCCCGGGACCCCCATCCCCGCACCATCGCGCCGGAACCTGTCCCGGGACCCCCATCCCTGCACCGTCGCGTGGGAACCTGTCCTGGGACCCCCCCCATCCCCACCCGCAGGGAGAGTGAAGCCTGGGCCCCCCACGAGGGCTTGCACATCCTTTGAATGCCCCTACCACCCTCATCCCATCCTCGCCTCAGACACCCCCTGCCCTCACCTGGGCCCCGCAGAGAAGGGAATAAAAGCCAGGGGTGATCTCTTCTGGGGGTTTTCTGGGTTGAAGCGGAATGGATCATAGACCTGCGGGCGAGGCCAAGACAGGGCTGCTGGGTGGGGTTTCTCAGGACACCCGACGCCCCCAGAAAAGACAAGTGTGCATGCAGAGAAGGCGAAGCCTGTGATTTCCCCGGTCAGGACCCCGCCCCCTCACCAGGTCCTGGGCATGGAGAAGCGGGGAAGGGCCGCACCTCAGGGTCCTGCCAAACTGACGGGTTGTGATGTATCCCGAAGATGCTGATGACACACATGTTCCCTATGGGGGAAGAGAGGGTCGTCGGGACCTGGTCTCCCCTCATGGGACCAATACCCTCCTCCCCTTGACGTTGAGGGCACCTTTGGGGATGACCCGGCCATCCGGGAGCACAACGTCCTGGGTGCAGCAGCGGGAAATGGCCGCGACTGGGGGATGCAACCGCAGACTCTCCTTGATGCACATGGTCAGGAAGGGCAACTGGGCCAGGTCGTCCCTAAGGAAACCCCCGAACAATTATCCAGAGAGCCAAGACAGAGACCCCTCAGCCCTCCTCCTGCCCCGTTAGACCCTCTCTCCACCTTCCTCTGACCCTCACTCCTATAACAGGATAAGTTCCACATGGACCAAGGATTGAAGCATTAGAAAATTAATACCACGAAAGTTAGTAGAAGAAAACTTTAGAAACATTTCTGAGGAAAACACAATACTCATAGGGTATCCTTAAAAGTGTTAATATATTTGCATTTAAAAAAGTTTTTTGAATTATATAATTAAAAAGCAAAAAAAAAGTAATCTCTATAATGGGCTTATGAAGTTATTTGAATGAATAGGATCCCCTCCACACTCTAAGTTGGGATGACCTAATATTATAAAGGTATCAATTATTTGTAAACTAATCAATACATTCAATGCAATCCAATAAAATCCTAGCTGGCTTTTTTTTCTTTTTTTTGGAACTTGGTAATCTTATTCAGTTTGAAAGGATTCAACTTCAAGAGCTATGTCATTTTAAAAATAAAAGGTCAAAGAAAGAGAACTCAACCTACCAGATATTAAGATCTATTACCAAAGTGAAGTAATTTAAAAAAAAAAAAACGGTGTAGTATTATTGCAAGAACAGGAAAACAAACTCATGGAACAAAATAGAGAACTCAGATACTGCACGTGGTTAGATGAAAACTTCGCATCTGGTGAAGGAGGCCCCACAAACCACTGGACGGATGGATAGTTTAGTAGACAGGGTTCGGACAACTGGTGATGTGGAAACAGAAAGAACTAGATCCTCATCTACTTCATACACAGGATGCTGTCTCCTCTCACATGTGAAAGGTAAGACAATTAGGTTAAAAGAAGATGACCTAGGCGACATCTTTGTGACGTAGGAGTAGGAAGGAATTCTTAAATAAAACCCCAAAAGCTCAAACTGGAAGACAAAAAAATGAATAAATATGCATTGAAATTAAGGATTTCTGTTTAATAAAAGACACCACGGACCAAAAAAAAATCAGATGAGAGATTCACTGTAGATATCTGCAATAAATATATAGATCTAGAACAATATCTTGAATATACAAGAAATTCCTGCAAATCAACAAGAGAGATGACAGATGTGACTCAAGAGAAAAGTAGGCAGAGGACATGATCTAGGAATTCACAGAAGCTCAAACACAAGAGATTTAAAACGTGAAGAGATGCTCAGTCATTGGTTCTCAGAGAAATGGAAATTGTATAGCAATGAGATGTTGCTTCACACCTATTCAAGGCAACAGCTAACAAGGTGGGCAATGACGAAGAGGTGTGGGGGTAGAGGGACTTCAAGCACTGATAGTGGAGGTGTGGACAGGGGCTGCCATGCTCGAGGGCTTCAGTATCGTCAGGGAAAGGCAACGTGTGTTTTACGACCCAGCAAGTTGGCTCCCAGGTATAGATCCCAGAGAGATTCTCAGACAGGTGATAGACACATGTACAAAGTGTTCACTGCAGTGATGAGATGGAAGCAGCCTGAGTATTCAGCTGTAAGGGATTGGAGAGGGAAGTACTATATGATGGCTCCAAGCAATAATCTAAAGTGTACATAGACCATGGATGATAAAATCTAATGAAATCGTAGTGCTATGCTTCTGGAAAAGGTGAGAACCAGCATGAGATCTGTAGTATTTGTGAATTTTAAAATACATCCACCCAAAACAAGAAATTATGCAAATAAAAGGATCAAGCTCTCTCGAATCATATTGGTGGAGAACTGAAAGTGGAGAGTTGGGCTGAATGGGAATGAATAAATATTGCATGAAAAAATGATGACAATTAGTCATAAATTGGGGGACATGGTCAACTCCATCCTTCGCACCTGAGGTCCAAAAAGCTAATTAATTAAAATTTTCAAGAGTATTTTTTGAACTACCCAACCCGATCATAGAGTTCAAATGGAAAAATAAGAATGCAAGAAAAAATTTGTAAAAACAAATTAATAAGATGGGGCAAACTTTATCAAGTTATTCATACTCCGTCAGAACATACTTTATCAAGTATGAAATGTTTTTTAAAGTATGATAATGAACACTTCTTGGTGCTTATGTATGAATATATAAATAAATAGAACAGAGTAGAGTACAGAAATAAACCCAAATATATAAATTAATTTAGTTTATCATGAAGCTGCTATTATTAAAAATTCTAAGACAAATACAAAATATTCATTAAATTATTTTGAGACAATTAGCCATTTGGAGGAAAAAAGATTCCTACCTCAGTAGTTATACCAATGGATTTCATATGGAACAAAGCATTAAATATAAAAGATAAAAACAAAAGTATTATATAAACAAAATTAAATTTTTAATAAAATATTTTTTTAAATAAATAAACCCATTAGAAGAAAATAAACAAGAGTTTTACAGTTTAGTATTAGAGTGTGAAAGTCTTTTCCAAGCATGATTTTTTTAAAAACCCAGAAGCTATAAAAGAAAAAAGTTAGGGCCAGCCCAGTAGCATAGTAGTTAAGTATGCACACTCTGCTTTGGTGGCCCAGGATTCGTGGGTTCGGATCCCAGGCAGAGACCTACACACCGCTCATCAAGCCACAGTGTGGCAGTGTCCCACATATAAAGTAGAGGAAGACTGGCACAGATGTTAGCTCAGGGCAAATCTTCCTCGAGCAAAAAGAGAAAGATGGGCAACAGATCTTAGTTCAGGGCCAATCTTCCTCACCAAAAAAAAAAAAAAGAAAAGAAAAGAAAAAAGTTAATAAATGTGACTACAAGAAAATGAACCAAAACCAAAAATAAAGTCAAAAGACACTCTCGGGGATAATTTTTGCATAACAGACAAAGAAGTAATTTTCTTTTTATTTAAAGAACACTTATAAACCAATATGAAAAAAACTAGAAAAAAGCTCAATGTAAAAAGGACAAATTATGCAAACTGAAACTTCACAAAAAAAGAAATGCATTGCTGATCAACATGTGAAAACAGTGCTCAACTTTACCCATACTTAAAGTGATGCTCATTAAAATAACAAAGTATTATATTTCACCTATCAGATTGGCTACAGTTTTAAAGTTTCATAATGCACACTGTTGGTGATTTAAAGTTTTATAATGCGCACTGTTGGTGAGGATGCAAGATAATTGGCACTCTCAAAATCTGTTTGGAGGAGTGGATTTGCTGTGAGCTATTAAGTTGCAAAACTCAAATGGTCTTTGAGTCAGCAATGCTACTTCTAAGAATTTGTTCTGGAGAGACACCCACATATGTAAGCAAAGGTCAGCATACATGGATGTTCACTACATCATGTTTGCTACAGCAAAAGACTATAGTATACTACAAAACTATACTAATGTCCATTGATAAGGAAATGTTTAAATAAATTATGGTACATCCATATGGTGGAATTCTACACAGCTATCAAAAAGGAAATAGGGATCACTGGTCCTATCACACTACAGGGTAAATCAGTACAGAGATGCCGAAAGGCAATTTGGCAATATGTTATAATTGCAAATATTTTCATATACATCCTCCATAGAGGGATGAGCTGAGTAAACTGCAATGCTGTGCAGCACTCAGAAAAAGGAGCCCTAAGACACGCTGTTGAGTGAGAAGAACAAGTGAGCAAGTGTGTGGGCATGCGTGTATTTCTCTTAAACTGCAACAGTATATACATACATAGACATTCCAAGAGAAAAGAAAGGTCTGAAACGACATATGACAGACTGATGTCTCTAGAGACCCCTCAGGAGACAGAGAAGGAACTAGGCTTGGGGAGAGGGCAACAAAGTTGAAACTAATCTTCTCCATGATGTTTCATTTTGTGCACAAAAAATAGACTTCTTCCTATTATTTTTTTTTCTTAAGATTGGCACCTGAGCTAACTGTTGCCAATCTTCTTTTACTTTTCCCTGCTTTTTCTCCCCAAATCCCCCCAGTACATAGTTGTATATTTAGTTGTGCGTCCTTCTAGTCGTGGCATGTGGGACGCCTCCTCAGCGTGGCCTGTGAGTGGTGCCATGTCCGTGCCCAGGATCCAAACCAGGGAAACCCTGGGCCGCTGAAGTGGAGCGTGCGAAAACCATTCACCCATGGGGCCGGCCCCTTCTTCTCAATATTGATTTTGCAACTCAAAATTAATTTTCTGAAACTTATATTTTATTTAAAAAAATGAAAGGATCTTGAAGTTATATTTTCGATGAGCATGCCTGAATGCTCTGTGTATACTCTCATTTGTAGAGCGACAAGACAGATGAATGAGTGAGTAAGAAAGACTGTGAACAGATAAACGTGGTTATAGACTGAACATCGTCTGAAGGACACAGGAAACCATCGAAGGCGACCATGGGATTGGGGTGCTGGCATAAGAGAGAGGTGTTAGGGGGCTGGCCCCGTGGCTGAGTGGTTAAGTGCGCACGCTCCGCTGCAGGCGGCCCAGTGTTTCATTGGTTCGAATCCTGGGCGGGGACATGGCACTGCTCATCAAACCACGCTGAGGCAGCGTCCCACATGCCACAACTAGAAGGACCCACAACGAAGAATATACAACTATGTACCGGGGGGCTTTGGGGAGAAAAAGGAAAAAAATTTTTTTAATCTAAAAAAAAAAAAAGAGAGAGAGAGGTGTTAGGTGCATTAACCCACCCTACTGTACTCATTTTTCAATATATCCATGTACCAAATCATCATGTTGCACACCTTAAACTTATACAATGTTATATGTCAATTATATCTTAATAAAATTGGGAGAAAAAAAAGAAGGAGGCTTATATTCACTGTAAACCATTTTGTACTATGTACATTTTTATCAAATGCATAATTTTTTGAAGTTGGGAGAAGCACAAAAACATTTCTCCAACTCACAGGACTGCTGTGCTAAGCAAAGCCTTGAAGTTGAGGGCACTACCTCCAAAGTGTTTGTCCAGTCCAACACCTCCTCACTGTCCTTCAGCCCTTGGATCAGAATCTTCCCCCTGGCCCGCTAGGCCCCAGCTCTCCCCGACCTCCACCCCAGTTTGCCCCTGTAGCTGCAGAAAGATGTTTCTAATACCCATATCCGACCCGTCCCTCCTATACTCAAAGATCTCCCATGGCTCCCATTGCCCTCTTGCATTAGTCATGGACCTCCCTTCCAGAAAGAATGCTGTACAGCTACAAGGAGTGCTTTTAGCTTTTAGCCTCCAGCTATAGGGTCTCCAGGCCCTGCTGCAGCATTCCAGCCAACACCACAGCTACCTGGGCAGCTCCCAGCCGAAGACTGAGCCCAGTGGCCACTATTGCCTTACCATTTCTGCCCAATGTGAGACTCCCCTAAAGGCAGCATCTCTGCCAACTTATCTTTTATCTGGTATTGGCTTTTCAAAGGACTTGAACTGACAGGTTTGGAAACTCGTAACATGGTTTCCAAAGCATTCCAAGAGGGGTTTCTGTTTCCAGCTCCAGCCTCTTCGGGAGCCCCTCTTGTTCCTCATACTGTAAATTTCATAAGGATACAACCACTGTTACTTCCCCTCAAACTGCCAGGCTCACTCCTGCACGCTTCTGTCCTGGTCTTTGCAGAAGCCATCCCCTTGGCCTGGAGCACTGTCCACTATCCACATCTAGTGGTGAATTTGTATTCATTGTTCCACTACCCAGCCTCACCTCCTTTCCTCTCTGCCCAGCCCTGCCCAGGGAGGACTAGAACAGAACTGGACACTGAGTTGGGAAAGGGCAGTTGGGAAAGGATATGTTTACTGAATGAGGAGATGGATGATTTTTTACTCCCAAAGACCTCTTGCAAACCCCTGGAATAGACTATTAGGCGGGAATTGGAGAAGAGAATAAAAATTAAGGGCAGCTTGGCTCTTTGGGGAAAAAATGCAACAACAGGCAGAAAAAAAGAGAGGGGAGAAGTGCATTTACTGAATCCATTCTGAGTGGCATCTGTTCTACACACATTGCTGCAGCTCTGTGGGGGAGAGACTCCCCACCCTCCCTGCCAATTTACAGAGGAGGAAAGTGGCATGAAGAAAAGAGAATTGATTTTATTAGTCACATAGCAAGTTAGTGGGGCAATAAGTGTGGACACTCAGATCTTTCTGTCTCAAAAGTCTGCAAACTTTCTCCTGCTCTCCAGGCTGGGTACCAGACCCTACCTGTGGGTTCTGCTCCTATTCCCACTAAGTAGAAATGACAGAGGGGTTCAGGAACAGACCATGTGCACCTGCACTCACCACTTAATCTCTTTAGGCTCACGGTCCCTCAGGAGCTCTCGCACCTCCTGCCGGCAGCGCTCCTGGTGCTCTGGGTGCCTCGCGAGGTTGTACAGGACCCAGGCGAGGCCGCTGGCTGTGGTGTCATGTCCTGAGAGGCAGCCAGACAAGTTTGGGTTTCTGGGAGGCTTCAGCACCAGAAGGTGGACAGCGTCCTTACATTAAGGCCCTCAGTGAGAATGGGGAGGATGGAGGGTGACAAGGTTGTCCAGGGACCACCAGCCAAGTCCCTGGGATAGAAAGACCCCTGCCCCTTCTGTATTCTCACCCCTAAACATAAAGGTGTCAGCTTCAGCTCGGATGTCCTCATCTGACAGTTCCTTCCCATCTTCATCCTGGAGAAAGGACAAGAAGACCCTTTGAATCACACCAGCTCTGAGGGTGCCTGAGTCTAACCTGAACAGTCCCTGAAGCTCCATCATCCAAGTGGGATCCTTCTCTTATCATCTCCAGAGCCCACCCCACAAGCCTCCTCCCTGGTCTCCTGCCTCCTCCTTACTCCTTCCAGGCAGCCTTCTACGGAGTCATGCCTAAAACTTATCTCTGACCTGTCCCTTCCTTCCTCATACACCTTCACTAGCACCCTCTGCATCAAATCTAAGTTCTCCTATCTGACATTTGAAATCAAGGTCCATCCTACCTCTTGAATTCAGATCCCAGAGAAGCCCACCTTGGCCAGCAGGAGCACATCGATGAAGTCCAAAGTCTTGGTCTTAGCCTTAGCCTTGAGGAGGTCATGCGAATCCTGGCTAAAAAGAGTGCGGCGCCGCTCCTGGATGACAGCATCTGTGAAGTCGTGCACCAGGTCACAGGCCCTACGGAAGCGCCGCCCATCGGGAGTGAGGTAGTACAGGAAGTCCATGCGCATGAAGATCTGGTGGTGCCGTTTTGTCACAAGAGCACTGAGCTCCAAGATGGCAGCAATATATTCGCTGGGATTCCTGCAGGCCCAGGCCAGAGAGAGCATTATGAAGCAGCTTCTCAACTCATGGGAAACCCTAGGAGCACCTCCCAGCCAGAAACCCAGGACCACATGCCATCCATAAAAGAGTGCCCTCATCATGCTTCTCTCTGCCTCCCATATCTGTGAGCTGTCTCATGTCCTAGACACCAGGGCAAAGCTTGAGAATCACATTCATCTCCTCTTTCTCCTACACAATATCTGATCCTGCCCATTCTTCCTCAGTTTCTCCCAAATCTGCTGCATTTTCTCCACCAAGTTCAGGCCTACTCCTCTCCATGGTCTCCTTGCATCCTGTGTCTACACAAGTCTTCTCTAGAGTCAGATGTCCAAGCTCAGCTTTGACCATGATCCTCATCTGCTCAAACACCTTCCATGGCTCCTTGGAAACCTTAGGATCAAGTTCATATTCCTTTGCCTGGCTTTTGAATGTCATTAAGATCTACCCCTGCCTACACCTCCAATCCTATTTCCCAGGCGTCTCTACATTGTTGTACACACTCTGCTCGTCCTAGCCTCCTGGCCTGTATCAAACATTTCTACCTACCCAAAAGGATTGCTCTCTCTCTTTCCCCTTCCCTGCTTCAGTGTCCGGCTCGGACCCTTCTCCTCCAGGAAGGCCCTTCTGATTGCCCTGGTCAGTCCTCCCTCTGTCTGTTCCCTTGCATCTATGGCCCATGTTCCGAGGCCCTGGGCCAGGACTCACTCCTGGCAATTGCTGTCGAAACTGAAGACACATTTCTGCAGACTGTCGAGGGTCATGAGGCTGATGTGCTCAAACATGTCCAGATGGGCACTGCCCTCCGAGGCCAGGCGCTTCCACTTGGCCTGGACAGAGAAGGGGCAGAGCCGGGGATGGGATGGGGCCTCCCCTGAGCCACGCCCCAACCCAACACCAGGACAGGCTCCCAAGACCCAGTCTCTTGGCCCCAGGCACCCCTCCCCTGGAGAAGCAGGCATGAGTGGGAGTGGACGCTATTACCATGAGGACATGAAGACCCCACAGCTGGGGGTCAGGTGGCCTGGGTTCAAGGTCCAGCTCTGTGTGCAGAGCAGAAAGTTCAGTTCATTGGGTCAGTTCATAGCCCTCCTCTGGGCTCCACCGCTCAAATCTTCAGTAATACTTAATATAACCTTCTCTGGTGTTGGACAAATCAGGTTAGAATCCCAGGTCCATCACTCATAGTTCACTTACTAGCTATGTGAACTCTGGCAAGCTCCCTAACCTCTCTGACCTTCCATTTCATCGTCTATAATGTGGCAATAATAATCATCTCTACCTCATACGCTTGTGAAAATTAAATTAGACAACATACGCCATGGCATTGAATACCATTTCTGGTATGTGGTAAGCACTAAATCACTGTTAGCTATCATCATCATCTTCATCATTATCATAGCGGCAGCTGACGACAGAAACGTCCCCATTCCTTTGTTCCTCCGTATACACTATTCCTTTGCAGTGAGACTCTGCAGCTCTTCCATTAGGAGATAGAACCTCTTTCTCCACCTCTCGAATCTGAGCTGCTTCAGCCAATAGAAAAAGGTGGAAATCATGGTGTGCTAGTTCTGAAACAAGGCTTCAAGAGGTACCGCATCTTTCTGCTCACTCTCTTAGATCCCAGTCTGCACCATGCAACTGAGCCTAGGCTAGCCTACTGGAGGATGAGAGACAAATGCAGGAATCCATTTGTCCTACCAAGGCCACCCTCGACAAACGACAGCCAGTCAAGCCCCAAACACGTATTAGAGCTGAGCCTGGATCAGCAGAGCTGCCCACCAAACCCATCCATGACCACAGACAGATGAGTGATTCCAGCTGAGATGAGACGACTTGATGGACCCATCATCTTGTGAGCAATAACAGACACTAGTTCTTTCAAGCCCGTGGTGTGTCATGCAGAAAGAGCTACTATGCAACCTTCATCATTACTATCTTGAATATACAGAGCTTCAGTGAGGCAGGCTAGAAACTAAAGCCTTCTGGGTACCTACTATGTGCCAGGAACATGAATCCATTACATCATCTTGACCACCCTTTAAGAAGGGATTATTATCCCCATTTTACAGATAAGGAAATGAGGCTTGGAGAGAAAAAGCAATGACCCCAAAGCCATCCAGCAGAGCCAGGACTCCAGATGTGTGTCTGAGGCCTCTCCCCGTTTCCCAAGGCTCCAGCTGGGACCCTGGGTTCAAGGAACTCACGTGCATGATGTCTGCACTCTTGTTGAAAATCTTTATATAGGACTTTAAGATTTCGAAGTGGAAGGCAGGTGTCAGCAGGCGGCGGTGGTGGCTCCACTTGTCACCAGCACTCAGCAGGAGCCCGTCCCCTAGTAGAGGCAGCCACAAGGAGTAGTGAAGGATAGTGTCTTCCTCTAGCCCCCAAGGTTATCCCCAACTCCCTTTGCCCATAGTTACTCACCCAGCCAGGGCTTCAGGAAGCTGTAGAAATACATATCCTTAGGTGCGATGGCAGCTGACATGAGAGGTAAGCCATCAGGGGCCATGGAGAGGGGGAGGGGAGGGACTTTTGAGGTGGGGTGGAGCCTCGGCCAGGGGTCTGCCCTCCCCCTCCACGCCCAGCATAGAAGGAGTGGGGCCAAGGGCAGAGGAAGCTGGGAGGAGGGGTGAGGTGAAGGGGGACCAGACCAGGCAGCAGCACAGAGTAGAGCAAAGGCAGAGCCCACAGATGCACCCCTAGTGCTTAGAGGCACCCCAACATGGCACAACACATCGCAGCATGGCTCGACATGGCTCCTACATGATCCAACATGTTCTAAACACCTGAGCACAGCCCAGCACTCTACAAAACGCCTTCATAGGGACCTGGGACACCGTGTCTGGTCAGCACCATCTGATATCTCCTGAGACATCTGACATGACCCCACCATGTGTTAACACGTACTGACATGAAACAACATGTATGACACACCCTGACATGACACAGCATGCTCTAACATGGGGCTGAGACAATCTGACATGACCTCAGTGTGAGCCACAGATGGGCCCTAGACAGGATTTACAGTCCCATTAATGTGCCAGACATGGCCCAGGTATGACACAGACTTCCTCAGCATTCTCCTCCACACCATATTTGCTGTTAAGTGCTTTTGTTCAAGGGCTCCCTTGTCCTTAAAAAGACCAGAGCATGCTGCCCCCATCAGATGCTGAGATCCACCCACCATGAAGAGCTGCCACTGCTCCCTCCAGCCTCTAGACCAGCCCCCCCAGGGCCAATCAGACACAGCTGACCACCCTGGGGTCTGGTGGATCTTCTCTCACAATAGTCTGGCCATTTCCCAGCCCCAAATCACCTTTCAGCTTAGGCTCCCTCCCATCAGAGGCAGACAGGGCAGCTGAGAACACATAGAACTAAGAAGGAAACGTCAGCATGCTATGTGACCTTGAGAAGCCGTTATGCGTGCCTGACCCTCAGCTTCCTCACCCAGGAAATACCCACCTAGCAAGGATGCTGGTGGATGGTCATCTGTGGTATCTGCCTGTCCAGCATCCATCCCATGTCCTGGAACTAGCACTCCACAGTCTCTCCACTTTCATTCCATGTAGTTAGAAGGGTGGCCATGCCACCCCATCCTCTGCTCCAGAGCTGGACATATGGCCCTAAGCCTTGTCAACCAAGTCACAGTGATTAGATGAGGAATTGGTCCCTGTGACCCAAGCCAGGCCAATTTCATGGAATCCTGCAACTTTCCCTGGGTCTGTGAGGAATGAGTTCACTTGTCCACGGGGGCTGAGCTTCTGGGACTCATCTTTACCAGCAGGAGAGTGAAGCCATCACAGAGGAACACAGAACTACAAAGATGAAGACAGATTCCCAATGGCATTGTTTGAAGACCTGGATGCAGCTGTGCCTGAAGACAACACTCCCTGAGCTTTTCAATCAATAGATTCTCTTTTTTACTTAGATCAACAGTATTGAGTTTCCTCCACTCAAAAATGAAAGAGATTTTGGCAACCAGAGAGAGCCAAGGACCTGCCCAGAATCACCCAGCAGGTTAGTGGCATAGCTGGGTCTCTGTTGACGCTGTCCATTCCCCTTGCTCAGCCTGGTCTGTCCAGGGGTAAGAAGGGCTGAAAGCAAAGGGAGGAAAGAGGCTGGGGTCGGAGGCTCCTGGAAGAGATACCTGGGGCCTGGAGCAGGGGGGCAACGAACTTAGGGTGGACGAGCCGCAGGATGGGGTAGAGGGGTCCCATCCACCAGAGGTAGACGTCACGGAAGTAGTGGCCCAGGTCCTCCACCAGCCGCAAGCCCTCCTCGTTGCTCTTCGCCTGGGGAAAGGAGTGGACGAGGCCAGACCTGGCCTCAGAAACGACAACTGCCCTCTGCACCCACCCTACCCACCACACCCCCACGCACTCCCTTCTCCTCTTCTGCCTGGATTATTGATCTACACCTCTCTCCATCTCACTAAGGCAGCTTCTCTCTGTTGGTCTCTGTCTTTTTTTGTGTCTATATATCTATATGCCTCTCCTGTCCCCTCACTCTCTACATCTCTCTGTTTCTTTAGGCAGATAAATAGATAGATAGACAGACAGTGTATGGATGGACAGATAGATGATGGATGGATAGATAGACAGACAGATAGACAATTAGGTACAAGATAGATGGATAGATGGTGGACAGATGGATGGATGTAAAGATAGATAATGTATGTATGGATAGATAGAAGACTAGATTGTGGATGGATAAATGATAGATGGCTGGATATATATAGAAAGAAAGATAGATGATGGATGGATGGATAGATGATTAGATGATGGATGAATAGACGATGGATTTATAGTTGGATAGATAAACAGATAATGGATAGATGATGACTTGATGATAGACGGATAAATGATAGATGGATAGATAGGGTAGATAGATAGATAGATAGATAGATAGATGAAGGGGTAGATAGATAACTAGATGATAGATGGAGAGATGATTAGATGATGGATGGATGGATAAATTGATAGATAGATGTGTTTGTATCTCTGTACATACATGCTTCTTTTACTATTTATCTGTCTCTGCATCCTTCTCTCTCTCTCTTTCCCTCCCTCGTTCTCTGTATCTCTCTCTTTCCCTGACCCTGTTTCTCTGTCCATCTCTCCAGCTCCTCATCTGTTTCTCCTCTTCGCTACCTTCCATGGCTCGCCCTCAGAACCCATCACCTCTCCCTGGGTGGTCTTGAAATCCTGCTCACTCTGCTCCCCTCTCCACTTTTCTTTGCCTCTCACTCAGATCACCCCACCTGCACTGCAGGTGCTGGCTCTCTCACCTCCAGGCCTTAGAGTGGGCTCTTCCTCTCCATAGAATACACATTCTCTTCTTTTCTTAAAAAATTCATACTCATCATTCCAGACCCACTTCCAACAACTCTTCCTCCAAGAAGCCCTCCAGACTGCTCAAATGGCAGAAGTCTTGCTTCCCCTCTGTGGTCCCCCAGCCCCTGTCTCTCTCCCTCAGGCCCATCCTGACAACAAGATTGGAGGCGACTCTGTCTAGCTCTGTGTGTTCAAGATTGAGGGTTCCTCCAGGGAAGAGCCAGGTCTGAATTTCCCCACAGATACCAAGCAGTGTCTCGAACACCAGAATGGGGGTGGCAAATAAAAGAAAGAAGAAAAAGATGGCCAAGGGCACCCTAGAACAAGAGGGGCCTTTGAACCTGTAGGGGTCACAGAAGCTTGGCAGGGAGGGCTTGCAGCCCTTGAATGATGCTACGGTACCCACCATCATGTCTCAGGGGGGATCTGTGGTGATGGTGACAGAACAGGTGATGTTTGGATGGCAGAGAATGACAAGAGGGGCCCATCCAGGTCACAAATCCCTGGGGGTAGTTGGCCACCAGCTGAGTTACGTCTCTCAAGTCCTCCTCTGTCGGGGGAAACTGCAAGCAAGGAGGGGCCATCACTCCCCAGAAGCAGCCACGGCATGTCCCCCCTGCAGCCTCTGCAGTGGACACTGTGTCCAGATTCTGCAGGGATGGGGGAATCCAGGCTCCTGCTGCTCCTTTCCTCTCAGGGCAGGAGGGTCCCTGAGGCCTCTCCAAGTCCCAAGGGAGCAACCAGGGCACAGGGAGAAGACACGCTCTGCACACAGAGGCCGACCTTGGCTCCAGAAGATGGATTTCCCTCATCCTGGGAGTGATTGCAGCCACGGGGCGGCCACAGGGGGAGGTGCTCAAGGGGGAGGTTTGTGGGCAGGAGGGTGGACTCAGGACTAGACCCAGGGGCTCATTCTCACATATTTTCAACTCCACATGGCCTCTGGTTACTTGAATGGTGAAGGGTCTGCAGTCCCAAGACCCTCCAGCCCAGGCTGATGCCAGAGAAGGGGCCTGAACTCTGACCATCAACCAGGAGGGCAGCTCCCACCTATGAGCCCCTTCTGAGGGCTGGCCGCTATGCACGCTGCATCCTGTGTATCTATGTCTCACAGTGCATCTCGTCTGTCTCTCTATCTCTGACACCGTGTCCTGTCTGTCTCTCTGTCTCTCACAGTGCGTCCTGTCTGTCTCTCTCTCACAGTGTGTCCTATCTGTCTATCTCTCACAGTGCCTCCTGTCTGTCTCTCTGTCTCTCACAGTGCATCCTCTCTGTCTGCCTATCTCTCACAATGCGTCCTGTCTGTCTCTATCTCTCCCAGTGTGTTCCATCTCTCTCTCTCTCCTGAACCTATCAGCCTACCCACCAATTGTTCCATTTCCAGATGAACAAACTCAGCCTATGTCCTCCAATATGAAAAGAGGGTGGGTCACCTCCCAGTGGTGTTTCCTCTCCAGTCCCTCAGGATGTTTCATCCAAGCCTCACCATTACCCCCAGGTGCTCCAGGCAGGTGAACATAAGTCATTCCACCTTGTCACCCTCTCCCTGCTCTCCGAGGACCCTGGGGTGAAGATTCAAGGCATGTGAAGAAATTGACAAGAGAGGGAGAGCCACTCTGCCAAGGTCACACAGCAAGGGGGACTGCAGGAGGGATGACTAAGACTGGCCTCCACAGCCGAGCCATTGGAGGGGGAGGAAGAACTGCAGTAACTGTATAACATCCCTGCTGTCCCGGGGCATGGTGAGAACATCCCAAGACCCAGAATCTCAGGAACGCCTCGCGATAAACCTGGGTCATCCTGTTCTGCAGTAAGCTGGTCTGGGGGAAGGGGTGGGAAGGAGCTGGACGCTCATCCCTTTGGCCTGGATAACCAATGGAGGTGATGGCAGGTTTTTCCCAGGCCTGGGGCATGGCCTCAACCACAACATCAGCCAACATTTATTAAGTGTCTACTGTATGTCAGCTCCTGGGCTGGGCACTGTAGATGTCATGTCTGCTCACAGAGCTACTGTCTAGTGGGAGAGACAAATAATCAAGCAGCAGTTGGACAATTGACTGTCTCAGCATGAACAGGGCCCAGTCAGAGGTTAAGTTTTGAGGGGCCCAGAAAGGGTTGTAGAAGGCAGTTACACGTGAGCTGAAAATGGGAGGTTAAGGGGGATCAAGCGGGTGACCGCAGAAGGGAAGCACTTCCAGACAGAGAAGCAGCAGGAGCAAAGGCTCTGGGGGGGGCTTGGCTCGTGGGGAGAGCAGGGGCTCGGAGTGCCCAGGCTGTGGGTGGCGGGGGCAGCAGGGCCCGCCGGGCAGCATTTAGTCCTTGTCTTCAGAGCGACAGGCAGTCATTGAATGGTTCTCAGTTGACATGTGGTGTGATCTAAACTAAATTTCAGAGAAATGCCGCCAGGGCTAAAGAGAAAGTGGGCGACAGAGGACAAGCGTGGCGATAAGGAGGCCAGAAAGGAGGCTGGGAGAAGCTTCCGGGAGAAAGATGACAAGGGACGGAGCCGAGGTGGCAGCAGCGTGCAGAGAGGGGGCGGACTGAGGAGAGATCCTGCAGGCAGCACAGCCGGACATGCTGAAGGACCAGATGTGCAAGTGAGAGAAGAGGAGGGTCAGGGGACCCCAAAGTACGGGACATGGCGATGGGAAGCACGGGCTGCACGGAGGACGGGGCAGGATCCAGGAGGAGGCGTGAGTTCTGACTCTGATTTGCTGAAATGAGGTGTGTGTGAGATTCCACATGAGAAGACGAGGATGGGGCTGGACATGCAGCCTTGGGCTCAGGAGAGATGTGAATGTGAGTTCACTCACAGAGGGAACTGGTGGTCCACTCAGGAGCTGGAGCCCTGGGTAACGAGGTGGCCTCAGGAGAGAGAGGAGACAGACGAGGGCTTAGGATCCCAGGGGGTCCCTACATAGAAAGGTGGGGTGGAGGAGCCAAGACGGGAGACAGAGGGGCCACAGGGAGACCAGGCGAGGGTGGCATCTTGGAACCAAGAGGAAAAGGAGGTTCCAAGAGGACAGGGTGATCAGCAAGGTCAGAGAGCTGCCATGAAGTGGATGAGATGGGATTTAGGAACCTGGGTGTCACGGTCATCTTGGGGGAGCATGAAGAGGTGGGGGACCAGGCTGGAGCAGGTGAGGAGCAAACGGGGAAATGGAGGCAACAAGTGAAGACTAGTGTTTGTCCACAAGGAGACAGCAGAGTGAGTGGACTGGAGGTCTGGGTGCAGAACGAGGTGCCTTGGAGGTGGGAGGGGGTAGTTTACATGTCACCCCTGTGTCCTGTTTTGTGACCTTCTCTAACATCATCACGGAGAAGAGCTCAGAGGACTTGGGTGGTTGAGCTCAGACAGGGCAAAGGTTTTCCAAGAGGCTGTGAAGGAAAGCCCAACAGGCAAGAGACTTCAGCCCATGTGCAAAGGCTGAGCATCTAAGCTGGATGTGTCCAAGGGAGTGGGGTTGGAAGGAAACTGTCGGACTGGGGTGTAGAGCAGACTGGACACCCCGGCAAGATCCAAAGGGTAAAAAAAGAAGGAAAAAGAAGCTGGAAAGAAGAGGAGGCCATGGTCAGAGAGTGCGACACTCAGGTCAGTGGCTTTGGAGGCGATGCCTTTACGCGTGGTGACAAAATCCAAAGAGGAATGTGGCAGTACCGGGCCGGCGGAGCACAGGGGACGGTCCTCTGAGGATGAGGCTGCGATGGTGAGCCAGGAGCCCCCTCCCAGGAGGTTTGGCCATGAAGGCAGAGGCCAGAATGACTCCTTCATAAGGGTAAGTGGTCAACTTCTTTCCAAGTTGGGCGATAGGGCCCACTGATCTATCTTGGGGGTAGGAGGCAAGACAGGAGGGAGGGGAGGAGAAGGAGAGACTGCCCATATCTCACCTCCAGCCCAGCTGTGTCCTGGGGGGAAGGGGGCTGAGGTCTGAGTTAATTCTTGTGGGGCAGTGGAAGCCCAAGAGGAGCAGACACCGGCCAGAGGCCGTCAGACACAGGCCAGCAGCGAGCGGACCCTGGACAGTGCCCTGAAGAGGCCTCAAGCTCAGTGGTGGAGACTGGGGACACAAGGGGACCCAGCACTGTGCAGCCCGCCCTGGGAGCCTCTCAGAGCTGCGCTAATGGATCCAGAGCAGGCTTGGGGTGGGGACAAGGACGTGGCAAAGGCGTGGGATGGTAGAGCAGAGGAACTAGTGAGTGAGCAAGGAGGGGCCGCCTGAGCCTCCCTCTCACTTCCGCTGTCCTAGATCCCAGCCCAACCTGAGCCCCATTCCCAACCCCTCAGGAAGTCCACCCACCCTGATGCCCCAGACCCCTCCTGCTGCCACACTCACCAGGCCCAGGTGACCCCAAAACCAGTTCCGTTTGGGGGGCTGCGGGAAGCATCGCAGGCGGCAGCAGTTGTCATAGAAGGTGTAGGTCCAGGCCAGGACGTGGGCCAGGAGCCAGGAGGCCCCGCCCAGCAGCAGGAGCAGCCACGGGGAGGCTGCCACGGGCCCGAGTCCCAGCCAGGACAGGCTCAGCTGCAGCATCCTGCAGGGCACACGGGGTGGAGGGCGAGCTCCTGGGGCCCAGGAAAAGCGAGTATTGGTGAGCTTGACGCAGAGACGGACAGCTGACAAAGAGGGCAAGGACCAAGGGTGTGAGGGACAGGACAGCGAGGGGCAGGAATGGTGAGGGCTGGGGCCAGGGCAGAGAGGGCTCAGAGAAGGGGTCAGAGAGGGGAGGGGGTCCATGGAAATCCAGAGGAAGAGAGAGAGACAAACAGAAAGACAGACAGACAGAGACACAGAGACAGACAGGGGAGAAGAGATAAAGAGGAAGAGAGAAAAAGGAGGAGAGGCCCAAACTAAATCAGTGGGAAGTTTCCAGAGGCTCCAGTTACAGGAAACCACCGTCCTGGTCCCAGCCAGCTAGCTCCCTGGAGCCACCCCTGCCGTGGGCAGCGCCCTCCCCACCCCAGGCCGGCACCTCCAGCCCTGGACCCCAGCCTGGCACCTTCTGTCTGGAGCAGTTTGTCCCACACAACTTCCTCTCCCCTGCTTCTGGGAAGTCTTTGTCTCAGGCCCAACCTGTGAAGTGGGGGAGGCTGGCAGGGCCAGGCTGGGCCAGCCAATCCCAACACGCCTGCTTACTTCCTCCCCACCTGGCTGCAGGCCCAGATGGAGGTGGGGGAGGGGAGCCAGTGTTGTCAAGAGAGGCTTATGAACCAGCTCAGGGCCACACAGTGTGGATGCTGGATCTTCAGGACTCAGCACCTTCCTCGTGGGGTGGAGGGGGCAAGTTGAGGGGAGGGCAAAGGTGTCTCTGGGCCCCAAGTTTACAGCTGCAGCTGCCCTTCCCATTCCAGGGTGTGAGAGGTGAAAGGTTGCATCTGAGAGTTCAGGTGCCAGGTGAGCAAGGCCAGGCCAAACCTTGTCCCCACACATCTCCTGGGCTCTTGTCCACATGAGGGGCCAGGAGGGCGTCATGCACTGTTTCTTGGTGCGGAATCAGAAAGCTCAGAGACAGGGAGCATCTGGCCCCAGGACAGCACAGCCTGGCAGGAAGTCAAGACCTGCCTCCAGGCAGCCCAGGGCCTGCGTTGAGACATGAGTGCTGGGAACAGGAGCGAAGCCCACAGCCTCGTGAGGCTCACCCACACCAGACTCTGGGGTAAGGAGCCCCGTCAGGCGAGGGCATGTGGAGGAGTGGGGGGTGAGGCTGCAGGGGGTCATGAGAGCACGGGATACAGACAGCGGAGGGCAGAGCTGGGAGAGCCTGGGTGGAGTCCTGCCCGTCCTCACTCTGACTGTGGGCTGTGCCAGCCCTCTCTGGGCTCAGGGTTCCATCTGGGAAACAGGATGTCAGATGAGGGCCTGAAGGGGGCACATCTTGTCCAGATCCTGTCCCGAACTCCCCTGTGAGGTAGTCTCAGCCTCTGTGAGGTCTGCCCGCAATCAGAGGAGGGTGAGTTTGAAGGATGCAGCTGCTGAGTGAGAGGACTGGGACAGACATTCCTCCTGCAACTGGCAGAACGTTAGGGAAATGCCCACAGTTTCCTCGCCCTCACAATTCTTCCAGCCCTACCTGATCCAGCTTTAGGTGCTGGGCCCTGGATCTCTCAGTAAGTCTGGATGAACTACCCTAGATTCCTCTCTCTGCTGGGGGGGGGGGGGGGGGGGGGGGGGCCCCGG